TATAGAAGCAGTCACTTATAGTAATCACTATCCTCCACTACACACAAGTGGGCAAGAGATTCCAATTTAACGCGGCTGTCACTATAGCTTCATGGCGTTTAAAAAATGTCGTTATATTAGTATAGGCGGCGTTTTTAAAAACGCCACCAGATGTCCTACCCTAACGGTACTATGACATCATTATAGTTTTAGTGACGTTTTTTAAATGCAGTCATATATTTTTTTTATTTTAAAAATCTAATCGTTGTAGTGGCATTTTTAGAAATGTCGTCATATCTTCTTTCTTTTTTTTTAAAAAAAAAAATTAACCATTATAGCGGCGCTTTTAGAAATGCCATCATATCTTTATTTTATTTTATTTTAAATTGTGCTAATTTTATGTGATTGAACTAAAAAAAATACTTGTATTAAAACTGAAAAAATAGCACTAATATGAAATAATAACTCCCATTTAAATAGCAAATGCAACATTAATTCACTTTCCCATTCAATTTAATATCCAATCACCATTAACCACAAAATAGCATATCCACAAATTGGATTCATTTCTACATAATAAATTTTGAATACCTATAATCATTTGCAAATTACAGACATCAATATTAAATCCAAGAAACCTCTATAAGACAGCGCCAAATTGGATCCAACTCTGCATAGTAAACTCCGAATACCTACAAACACTATAAATCAAAGTAAATCACAAATATCAGTTAAGCTCAATAACTGCTATCAATAGTCAAACTTAAAATATCTCAATTTATAGTTTATTGCAGAGTTTAATCCCTTTGCCACTTGGATAACAATGACTTTTCAACCAGCTAGACTCAAAGGAGGTATTTAAAAAAAAAATGATAAGAAATAAGGCTTCCATATTCTTTAACCACATTGTTTATGCATATTTTTAAATGCATTGTTTATTCATATAGTATCAGTGGGCACAAGTTGCATTAAATAAACATTTGCTTTATCAATAGAACAGAGTTTCCTACCCCATTTCCGAATAGTCTCAAATGCAACACGAGCAATACGATCAATCACTGCAGGAAATTTAGCTTTTAAACGCCGCGATAAGTACCAAAAACGCCACTACTTCTTTTTGTGACGCTTAGCACCAAACGGCGAGGACGTGGCCGTCGCTATAGCATTGTGGCGCTTTAAAAACATCATTAATTTGGTATAGGCGGCGTTTTTTAAAACGCCGCTAAATGTGGTACATAAGGCAAAGTGACATCATGACAATTTTTAGCGACGCTTTAGAAACGTCGTTAATTTATTATTAAAACGCCGCTAAATGTGATACATAACTACAAAGTGATGTTCTGACAACTTTTAGCGACGTTTCAAAAACGTCATCATAGCTTTTTTAATTTTAAAAATCCTATATAGTTGGGTTCTGAAAAATGCCATTACATCTTTATTTTTTTAATTGTTTTTTTTGAAATTATTACTTGTAATAAAATTGCAAAGTAGCACTAATATGAAACAATAACTCCTATTTCCATTCAAATGAACATTTGTCAAAAGAATAAGGCAGAAAAATAACAAAAGAATTGATTTGAGACCAAGCCAGTATCTAGTGATATTCATCCTCCATCATCACCTTTTCACATGGAGACAAGTGAAAAGGTCTATAATAACATTACGTATTTGAAATAATAAACCAGGCGAATTTTGGAAATCATCCAATAATGGGATTAGTTATGAGGCTGCAAACATCAATTAAACCATTAAACTACCTTCCACCACCTTTCTTAGCAGCTGTAGCATCATTAGCCAAACGTGTTCGAGCATAATCTGGGGAATAAACAAAAAGAGAAGATGAAGCACCAGCAGCAGCACCTGACGCCAAATTCCCGGCAAACCACTTCCAGTAACCATCCTTGTCTCTCTTGAAATTAAACAGCCTCTTAAAATAATCTTTGAAAGCAAAGTTCAGGGCCTGAAAAGGATTGATAAAATTGCAAATTCTGTGAGACGTTCTATAAAACAAGACATGGTTGTCAACAAATGATAAATCAAAACGGAAACTTAATGAATCACATCGACTAGCCAGCATTTTTAATTCAAACTTCCAAAACTGACAGGATGAAGCTATTTGGAGGACCTAAATCAAATCCAGATTAGACATCACTTCCTTTCAAATTTCAGGATGTCAATCCATCCCTTTGTTAGCAAACACATATATGTACACTCACATGGGGTTGTCCCATCATGTGAGAGGCAGGGTTGTGGAAGAGATGTTTTGGACTGTGGACATAACTGCTCCCATACTAATCGAGGGCAGAAAAACGAAACAAAAGAAATGGCAAGATTAACAAATATAAACAAAAGATAGGCTAACCTGGGTTGGGAAATATCTGGTAACATTGGTAGTGTTGCTTCTCCACAAAGCAATAATGCCTTCATCCTTAATTGTTTGGGCAAAGCAGTCAGAAATTCCTTTGTATGGTTCAGACAGCCGACCAGCTTTGATCATCTCATCCTGGTTCTGAATCAATAGCTTAACTCGCTCTATCGGAGCAGCAGCAGTCTTGGATATAGCAGCAGAAACTCCTCCCATGAGGAAGTCTATCATAAAACTACGAAAACCTTTTTCTGCGGGAGCTTGTACAAAAACAGAGGATAGTGGTGATGCAAATTCCAGGCCAGTGCCATGGAATGTTGGTGGCAGAGGACTCTATAGACCTCCATTTACATATGCACCGGTCATATTGTGTAAACCAGTATTCCTGGAGCGCAAGTTAGGAGAAATTCGAGATAAGAAATAAGATAGCCCATGTGTCTTCTAGGAAATTGATGGATGCTGTGATCCATCCGCCATATTTGCAACTCAAGGTGGCGACCTACAACAGAAACCAACATTAATTACATGCAAGAATAAAACAAAAACAAGCATATCAAACAAAGAACACAATAAAGGCTTAAATACAAGGAACAATAGAGAAAAGGGTTTTTCCCTACCCAATCTTTTCGCTACTATAAACACCGGTGCCAAAATATTTATATCACTTTAAACAAATTAAAATAAAAACATATTGTTTGAGTCAAATGACTTTGGAGGGAACAAATAGTTACCAAGTATTATGTATACCATCCTTGAGGTTTACCTATCTTAATTTGCAAATCTAAGCAATATATGCGTGCATGCTAAACAATTTTCAAACACAAATATAATTAAGGGAAAAATAGATCAATTCATTTAACTTACAATGCATGGAACAATGGAATTTTCCATTAATTGAGGCCGCATTGGAACTATGCCATCTCTTACTAGCGCTCGTAAAGGCCATGCACGTCCAAATATCCTTTTTCTCACAGCAAGAGGCCTCTCAGTCACCTCTAATTGCTTGAAGCTCAATGGCAAGCTTGTGTTTGCATTTTCATCTTCTTTCGAAGTTGGGCTATGATGGCAGGGTTCAAGGATGTCATATAAGTTCAGATCTTTTATAACCTAGATAGTCACCATGACAGGAAGTGAAAAACCAAAACATTTTTAAATATAAACATAATATTCATGAATCACTTTATAATCTCTCACTAAAGGCTACCAGTAATTGATCATTGTATGTGACACCAGCAATACAACAACCATCTGCACTCACCAGAAAGAAAGTATCAGATTGTTGCTGTGATTGGCTTCTCCGTTGTTCCTTTTAAAAATGGAAGAAGAATTTTGGGAGCAGCAACTGTTTCTCCCCTTTTAGAATGTAATGCTTGGTTACAGAAGTGTAAACCTGCAAAAAATTTAAAAAAAAAAGGCTGACAAATTAAGCCCTAAAAGCAATAGGAATCAACAAATTGTGATGATAATAAACATAGGAGCACAATTGGGCACAATAGAAAATCAAAATTAGTTTCTATTGTTTCCTAGATTCAGCTTTTTAATTTAGTTCACTCATCATTCCTAACCATAGAGTTAAACTTGGATTTTCAGCCATCATAAATAGAGTCGATATCCACATATCACCTCCCATGCAGTAAACATATTTAGAATCACAGAAAACAATGGAGCATGCCTCCATAACAAGAGATGGCCCTATAATCCTCAAGTACCTTGGTCAGGTAAAGCAGTTCATCTATCAAGGTTATTCTTCATCTCCAGCGTGTATCTCCCAAAGGCTCACTCAATCTTCTTATTGAAATGTTCATTACGGTCATTGATCGAATCAATATCTTTCTCATCATGAAACCTCCTCCTCCGGCTTCTCATCTCTGTCCTTGAGTTCCCTCACCATCCTTTCAATCTTGTCCTTGGCAACTTTTGGTGCCTGTCAAATATGAGTAGAATTCTTTTGTTCTGTTCAAATTTCTCTAAATTGAACCATTTTAGCCAGAAACACAATTTCCTCAATTAAAACACTTACCTTTCCATATTGGAGGCTTGAAGCTTCTCTGTAGAATTCTGGATCAGCTTCTTTCATTTTATTGTACTCTTCGATGTCAATCTCAATGTTCTTTGACCGTTTCTTGTATGCATTGTACAATGTTTTCTGATTAAAAACTGTTCAAGAAAGGCAATGTATTTCAGTACATACATATAAGGTATCAAATGTCAATGTTGAATGGTTCAAAGAAGGTGGGGGAAAAAAAAAGAGGGTAACTTAAGCTTATTCTTTATATTGGAGAATTAAAGAAGTTTTCAACAAAATATCTATTTCCAACCTTCCAAGCACAATATATGTAAAATATCTTGAACCCATGAGAATGCAAACATATACTAAGATATGTACTATACCAATAATTCAACACTGTATTATGCTGTTTATTTGACCATGTAACAACAATTATTCTTTCATTTTATCGAACCAACTAAAAAGTTCTCTTCCAAGAAGATATGGTAACAAAAGTTTGTAGCAAATAGGAAACTAAAGCAACCTTTCTTAAGTAAACTTAAAAATTAATATTGATTAAAGAAGGCAACAAGGGAGCACCACCCATGTACAAAAGAAAAAAAAAAAAAAAAGCAATAAGTTACCTAGTTCATTTTTATCCATCAATGCCTTAGCTTCAGCAATTACTCTAAACCAATAGTCACTACAATGATGATAAGGGTTTGATGCATTTCTGCAATCTGGAAGCATTCTTCCTTCTTCATTCACATTTTATGCCTCTATATTGCTCTTATTGCCTGAAGAAAGCAATCCAAATATGAAAGAACATTTAGATTGTAAATTTAGGTTCCATAACCAAATTTCATATATGCATGCATGTGAACACACAATCAATTGAAGCTCAATCTAAAATTTACTCAGACTAAAACCCATAATCTATATCTATTTTTATTTTATTTTATTTATCAATCCTGCATAAATCCTGGTAGCCTTTAGTGAGAGATTTATAAAGGCTACCGGTAATTTATCAATTTCATAAATCCTGCATCGCTTGCACCATATCCCATTTCCAATGGACTGGATTCATCATGACCCCTTAACTGGCCTAATTGAAATCCCATATCTTTATAGACAAAGCAACAATGAAAACCAGTACAGTGCATCCACTTGGACCAATTGCTTCATAAAGTCATAATCAAGTAATAAAAAAATTGGGAAGTTGAGATTGAAAATGAGTAATTAGGAAAAGTCCCACTTATTATACACATCTAAGTTCTAACTAAAGCTTCTTGGTTGCTTAAATACAGTTAACATGATTCTAAAAACATAATTTGGAGAAATTCACTTTTAAAGCAAAATATGTTCTGATTTTTAAATAATATTATGACTAGTGGGATGTGGACTTGCATCTTTTGCTATGAATGCAATGTCTACATAACAAGATGGTGTAATCAGGTCCTTGTCTAAGCACTTTTGTATAACACATGTCCAAATCATTTTATTTCTTTTTAATTCATAGAGATGATTGTTTAATGGAAGGCATACATTAGAGTGTACACACAAATTTAAAACACAACATCAACTATTATGGGATGAAACACTCACCAAATTTCTCCCCTTCTTCCCTCATGTCCTCTAAAATTTCCTCATACTCTCCATCATCCATCGGTTCATCAGCAGTAATTAGCTTCATGGTACCCCAAAATGAAACACCATTAGCATGAATAAACAATAATTACTGTAAAGGGGGTTGGCATGGGGAAGAAAAAAGTCGAACTACAGAGGTTACTATTAACCATACCTCAGTCAAGCATAGAACTTTGGTTGGAGTCTCTGCAGTTGTTGTGGGTCCTGTCCCTACTCCGGGAAGATTCACACCACCAGCTCGCAAGACCATTTTCTACAAAACAAGTCAGGAATGAAAAATGTATGAGCGATGAAAAGGTAGAAATCGAACAGGGGAGGGAAAATAGCATTATCCCTTACCTACAAAGCTATATGTTGTTGTGCCTGAGATGAACTTCGATTTCATTTTCGAGAGAGAACTTTGAAATAGCTCTGATGAATCACTAATCTGAATCGCTGAGATCGATCTGAACCTCTGAATCACCAAGCTGAATCACCGATCTGAATCGCTGAGATGACCTTCGATTTTGATTTCGAGATATGAATCACTGAGACCGATCTGAATCACGATCTGAATCAAACTTCGATTTCGAGATATGAATCACTGAGACGGATTTGAATCGCTGAGATTTGAATCACGATCTGAATCAAAATCGAAGTGATATGAACTCAGATTTGAATCGCAATATGAAATCGAAGTGATATGAACTCAGAATTTTAAAATTTCGAGATATGAACTTCGATTTCGAGATCTGAATCGCTGAGATGAACTTCGAAATCGCTCTGATGAATCACTTCGATTTCGAGAGAGAACTTCTATTTTTGAGGATTCCATTGATAAGCAACTGAATCTCTGTGATAATCAGGGTTTAGACAACAGAGAGAGAGAGAGAGAGAGAGAGAGAGAGAGAGAGAGAGATTATTTGCGAGTGTATCGGTTCAATTTGGGAGTTGAGATTCTGAGATTGAAAAAGGAAGCGCATGAGACAACACACATTTGAAGGTGTTAATAAACGCCTCCTATTCATAAAACGGTGCCGTTTCAATTAAAGAAAAACAAGACGTTTATAAAACGCCATTAAATATTAGAAACAGTGACGTTTTAAAAAACGTCGTTAAAAAAACGCCACCTAAACTCATATTTCCTGTAGTGAATCTATCAAGAAATATTTTTCACATCAAATAAAAGATTATGAACATAAAAAAAAAACATGGATCTGGGTTAATCCCAACTAAGAAATATTTTGGTACCGTTACGTTTTCAGTTTTCTGTTTATATTTACAAAAATTTTAAAAATTCAAATAAAAACTTGTTTGGTAAAACTTTTGATTTATAAATCAGTGGTCTCAGTTTATAAATTTGGCCAAAAAATGAAAACACAAAAATTGTGTTTCCGTTTTCAGTTTTCAGTTTTCAATTTTTTTTTTTACCACCCAACACTAGCCACCACCCGCCACCATTTTCCACTACCGTCTTCACCACCACCACCCATCCCCCACCACTTTTCATTCTTTTTTATATTTTTAAATTTTTTTTAAACATTTTGTCAATTA